CTACCTGGGATATGGGACATCGGAGCGAAGTATAAAATATCTGCCGTTGGCATAGTCACGAGCGGCATTGTATTGTATATAGTTGCGTTGCGCAATCGCAATTATCTCCACTTATATAAAATTGACCGCACACGCATGCACGACGTGCATTTTGCATCTCTTTACTTTTCCCCAGGCAGATCCGCCGACCGGACTGGAGTCCGTCGTGTCGTCCACGGGACGCGACGGAAGCGAATACGATCTGTCCACCCAGCGGCAATCGATCGGCAAGAACGTGGAGATAATAATTCAGATCGATCCGGACAGATCGCCCGCGCGTGACGACGGGAATCACTCTGGGCCGGGCACGATCAGGAGCGAGCGATTGAGAGACGCGTTCGAGATCGTTTCGGAGGGGCAACGGCCCGCGCTCCTCCTCGCGGACCCTCCACCCGGGGTCCCGACGACCGCTCGAGGAACGCCAAGCTCGCAGCTGGTGCAAAATTTTCCTCAGAGTCTTTCGTAATTCTTTATAATTTTTATGCAAATTTCAGAATTTTTACGGTTTTTTTTCATAATTTTATAATTTCTCTCATATACAAAAGTTTTCGGATTTTTCATACAAATTGGAACACTTTTCAGAAGTACCGAGAAAGTTTATATCTTTGCTAGAATTTTTCATACGTATGAATTCTGAAATTTCTCATGGTACAGTTTCAAACGTTTATATCTCAGAATATTCACACGTATGAAACATTCTAAGAAAAATATTCACCAGGGGCGGCTGGAGAACCATTTAACGGAAACGGACGATCGCTCCGAGAAGAATGTCGTAACCAGCAAGGTCTCGAGGATAGCCCGAGACAGGGAGCCTATCCTCGGTAAAGAGGCCTCGCGGGACGTCCACGAGGAAGAGAACACCACTTCGATCGCGGGATCGATCTCGACAAAAGAGAAGGAGGAGGGCGAGGCGACGGAGATGGAGGAGGATTCGGCGGAGAACGCGACGGTACGCGAAAGCAATCGCGACCAGTTCTGGATGGGCAAGAGCAACGTGAGGTTCTCCCGCTTCAGCGAGGACGGCGCGACGACGGCCATCGCTCTGGTAGCGATCGGCGCGATCATGCTGCTGGTGGGCCCGGTTGTCATCGTGCTGCGGATCCTGGACGAGAGGAGGCAGGCGAGGAAGCTGATCGCGCTGTCGGCGAACGCGCGGGACGATCTGCCGCCGACATACGAGCAGGCGGTCCTCATGGACGAGGCGCCGAGGTATTCGACGCTCGCTCTCAACTACGATCGCACGCCGCCGCCCTCGCCGACTCTCTCGTCCACCTATGCCTTCTCGAGTGTCGCAACGTAGTTGTGTCCATGATGCAAGAATACCAGGGGCTCGATTCTTGAATTCACTCCAAGGAGAAATTCTGCTCTCGCAGAAAAGTTGAAAAGTCGATTGGTTGAAGACCGTGCGAATAGCCAGTCGACTCGCAACTTCTTTTCTGTAAGAGCAGAATTTTCGCACGCGTTTCCCCTTGGAATGAAATCAAGAATCGGGGCCCCAGGCGTAACATTCCCGTAGATGCGCACTCGTGACTAATTAGAAATTTGCCCCAAACTGCCTTCAAACTGCCTTCAAACTGCAGATCGTTGCGGTTGAACGCAGCAAGAACCAACGAACAATTTGCCCCAAAAATTGGTTATATGCGCAACGTTTCACCTTGTATTTTTACATTATGGTTTTATCCTAGACGGAACTGCCCCGCCTTTTTATATAATAAAAAACTTATCAAGAAACTGTCCTTTAAATTAGTTCTTTAAATTAATTACGTGCCAGACAGACAGGGGGAGAGAAGCGCAATGCGAAAGTCTCGGTTCGCGGCGAGACGAAAAAACGCGAGAAAGGTCCTTTCCAACGAATACTATTGGCAATTCTGTTTCGCGCGATCGTGCCAGTCGGATCAATCGCCGGTTAAATCGATCGGAGCTCGACGAATGCTCGCGCGGATGCCGGAGGAGCGTCAATGCGCGTATAATGCGCTTTAAGTGTACATTTAAATTCGCATTTAATGTATGTATGTATATTGTGCGCATTCCAAAAAAAAACTGTACCATTGACCCCCTATGCATAATTTTTCATACATAAGCATGTATAAATACAGAGAATTAAAGTCATATATCTCGAATGGCCAAACATGTTAAATACGCGCATCTTGAACACGCAATTGATGTTATTTTGAAGCCGATGCAAATAAAACGCGCGTGAAAAGAGCACGTTCCGTGCTCGTTGGCGTCCTCGGGTGGAGGTCGCTTTTTAAATGAACGCGCACGTGCGCAATGCGAGCCGCGAGCGATGGACATCGGCGGAGTCCAGCGCCGCCTCGCGTCGGGAGTCTCGAGCGAGCCAGTCGATCCATCCAACATGGTGCTGGAAAGTACGATGATATGGTGAGTCTTGCGTCCCACGGAAATTTCGCGATCCTATCGAGATTGTCCCCTCGTGATATCCCCGAGACACTCGCCGGGCTCGTTCGTCCGCGGCCGACAGATTACCGCGGTGTCCTCGGTCCCGAGCGGCGTTCGCGTTTGCAACTTTGAGGTTAGCGTAGTGACAATGACGTTGACACAAATCAAATCTCGGACGCATGCCCCTTCGCGAGACGAGACCTTTCCCACTTTGATCGTCGCGCGAGCTCGAGCTGAGGCAATCTCGATGTTTTTGCAGCGTCGATAACAGCGATTACATGAGAAATGGCGATTTCGTACCCACCCGGCTACAGGCGCAGCAGGACGCCGTCAACTTGGTGTGCCACTCCAAGACTCGCTCGAATCCCGAGAACAACGTCGGCCTCATCACGCTCGCCAAGTACGCCGAGTGTTCCATTTATCGCGTACGTAAACGTTTGTATACGTAGTGAGGTAAACGTAAGCCTTGTCTTTCTAGCGTGGAAGTGTTGGCGACGCTCACGAGCGATGTCGGCAGAATACTGTCCAAGCTCCATCAGGTTCAGCCGAACGGCAAGCTGGCTCTCATCACAGGCATTAGAATCGCCCACGTAAGTACAAGTTGTCTGGCCTGGTGTCGCAGCTGGGGTCTGTCGGGTGTGCGCTTAAAAAATTGCGGAACTTGCAGCTGGCGTTGAAACATCGGCAAGGCAAGAATCACAAGATGCGTATCGTTGCATTTATCGGAAGTCCCATAGACATCGACGAGAAGGAACTGGTCAAGCTGGCGAAGCGCCTGAAGAAGGAGAAGGTGAACGTCGACGTCATCAGCTTCGGCGAGGAGAGCATCAACAACGAAGTACTGACTGCCTTCGTTAACGCGTTGAACGGCAAGGACGGCACCGGGAGTCACCTCGTCACTGTTCCGCCTGGTCCGCATTTATCAGACGCCCTCATCTCCTCCCCTATAATTCAGGGCGAAGACGGCATGGGTGCGGCCGGCATGAGTGGCGCCGCGTTCGAGTTCGGCGTCGACCCGAACGAGGATCCCGAGCTCGCGCTGGTCAGTATCCGAGACATTTTGCACCGACGGTTTCCCTCTCTCCTTCTCTCTCCCCCCTGCGAGATTAGTGGTATTTTTGTACGCTATGTCGCGTTATTTTCGCCAGGCTCTGCGCGTTTCTATGGAGGAGCAACGACAACGTCAGGAAGACGAAGCTCGACGAGCGCAGGCGAACGAGACCGCCGCGAATAAGCAGCCGGAGACTATAAAGGAAGCTCCCAATGAGGAAGCTATGTTGAAACGTGCCCTCGCCATGTCCCTCGAAGGAGCGGACGACTCGACTGCCGCTAGTGATAACACTGCACCATGCAGAGGCAACGTGCCGGACTTTACTAATATGACGGAAGAGGAACAAATCGCTTTTGCTATGCAAATGTCCATGCAGGACCAACGTAAGTTTTCGACCAATAACGTTGTTCGCGACGTTTGCGTCAGTCCTAAGTTTTCCAACTGATTCCATTACAATTGCAATTCTTGTAGGTACAAGTTCTAAGCTTCTTGCTCTACCTCCACTTTGGTGGGCTGGATTTCTCTCCCCTCTTTTAACTTATTATTGTTAGCTCAAGTCCAATCGATTTCTCACTTGACAGGCGGCTGCTTTAGCACCGACTTATTTCCTTCGTTACATTGTATTTCTGGATATATGCGTAAATGCTGGTGCACGAATACAAATAACAATCTATTTTTGTCTAATTGTTATCTCTATTATTGCCACGCAGAGGAATTGGAATCGCAAAAGGAAGAAGCGATGGACGTGGAGGAGGATTACGCAGCCGTTATGTCCGACCCTGCTTTTCTGCAATCGGTCCTGGAGAACTTGCCAGGTGTGGATCCGCATTCTGAAGCCGTACGCCAAGCCGTCGGATCGTTACAACAGAACAAAGACAAGGAGAAAGAGAAGGAAAAAGACAAGGAGAAGAAATGAAAGGCCCCTTAGTGCATTCGTATTTACATTTGTGGCTGAATTTGACATTTTCCATTATTGTGTATGATATTGTAGCTGTTCTATCTTGCTTATGAAATATACTATCAATTTATCGAAACTGCCTAACTTAGTTTCAGCAGTGTCGCTTTCCGAACAGTCTCGATTGGCGTTTTTAGCAGCACCATAATCTGGAAAACTAGAGCGACAACACTATGTATTATTTAAATACACGTTTTTAAGAATTTCACTCTCTTGGATGAATTTATTTTCTTACAACTGCAAGACGAGGTAACTTTGATCAAATTCAAGATATTAGATATAAGAATTGACTATAAACAAGCCTTGGTGTGCATTCGGTGTGCACTAGTGCAAGCTGCCGAATTCGCTATAAGGCTTGTTTATAGTCGATACTTATATTTAAGAATAGTCTTAAATACTTCTTGAAATATTTCTCATACAGAAAAATGATCTGTACAGTATCCGCAAGGATCATTTTTTAAGCTCAATAGTTTTTGAACATGTATTTGAGACAAACTTAAATATAAGAATTGATCATAAACAACCCTAGTAGCACAGTGCATTGGCTAAACATTGGTCCAATGTTGGTTGTATTAAAAATGCATTGGCTGATATTGTCCAACGTAAAGCCAGTATTGGCTATGGAATGAATGTAAATATTGCACGATAATAATTATATAACATTAGATTTCTATTGGAAGTGCATTGGCCAATATTTGACAATGTAATAAGAATATTGGTAAATAGACATATTGGCTAAATAAGAGAAGACGTTCATCTTACGATATTTGGAACATACTAGATGCCAATGTATCGCGCTACTAGGAAAGCCTTAAGCCCGTGTCCCACTACGTATTGCGGACGCGGATTAGATTGAAATTTGACCAATCAGAGTAAAAGTTACTGAACTTAAGATTAGTAAACTTTACTGTGATTGGTTAAATTTCAATCCAATCCGCGTCCGCAATACGTAGTGGGACACGGGCTTTAGGCCGGTATTCATAGTAGATTCTTATTTCAAATGATTCTTATTTCAAATGATTCTGTGATTGGTCAATTTCTTCCGACACGACTTACTACATCCTATGTAGACCCAGCCTTAAGCCCGCTGCAGACGATGCTATTTTTCCTGCTGGATTGCTTGCAATCTAATAAATTACTATCGTTGCACCATTCAGCACTCAGGATTCCTAGTAATTTAGTAAATCGCAAGCAATCCAGCAGGAAAAATAGCATCGTCTGCAGCGGGCTTTAGTGTTGTCTTGAGTGGCTAATACGTCTCTCTGTGATTGGTTCAAAACCCATTAAGGCCGGTATTTATGGTCGATTTTTATTTCAAAATCATCGTAAGTGCAGTTGTCTTAAGACGTTAATATGGCTCTGTGATTGGTTGAAAACACATTAAGAGTATACTTAGATAATCTTAAATATACGAACGGACTATGAATACCGGCCTTAGTGTGTTCAGTGCGCACTAGTGCGAGTAACCGGAATTCGTGTGTGAGATCGTCCCACAGACTTCT